TTTTTTTTTTTTTTTTTTTTTTGTTAATAACAGTGTTAGGGAATCCCCAAGGAAACGGCCTTTAAGTTTAGGGGCCATCTCCAACTGTCCGAGGGGGACACAAGCAAGCTTAGAAGTGCTGCTACTGTCCAGCAAGGAAAAAAAAAAAAGTCGAGGGGTGCAAATCAGAGGGAGACTGCAACAGTTTTCTTCCACCCTATGTGGGCAAGGGTTTTTTGTTTTTGTTTATTTTGTGTTTTTTGTTTGTTTTTCTTTTTAATAAGGAATAAGGAGTCCAAAACACAGAAAAAAGCGCTCTCCATCACAACAACTCATATTGGCGAAGGTGCATCCGTTGAATAATGTCCCGACAGTCATTGAAAACCCTCCGGATGTTTTCTGTATCCACTGCACATGTGAAGTGAGGATAGCAGTAGTGCCTTCCATCTCCACTTGCTGTGCTGATTCTCTGTATGAACAATACAGAAAAACTGTGTTAAAATACACTGAGTGGAAAAAGCAATGTTTCCAAGCCTCAGCTGACTGTAAGCATGCATGTACACATGCTGTGTTTTCAAAGGGGAAAATCCTTATTCCAGTCAAGTCAGAGACAAAACTTTCCTGCACTTCAATGAGATTAGTATTTCCCCCAAAGGATATAACTTGTAGGATAAAGGGCTGCATGTGGAGAAGGGTGTTGAATGCTCGGGACTGCAACAGAACGACAAAATAAGAGGACTTCACCAAATTATACTTATAGGAAAAGTTTATGTGCCACTGTTGGGGATTTAGCCAACAATTTATGCATGCAGCAGACTGAATTTTGCCTCAACATGTGAACCATTAGCCCCTCTTTACAACCCACAGTCTGTCTCAGTATTTTGTTTTGTTCAATGTACTTTAGTCCCAATTTTTGGCACACTACTCTGTATCTACATAGCAATGAAATCCATTTCTGGTATTTGTAAAATATGTAAAACAAATCATTTATATTCAAAGTATCAACTGAGCAGTGAGGTGATGAAAACTGAAGGGGAAATGCCAATATTCAGCGGCTGTTACATTGACTTGAACCACCTCTCCTTTTAGAAATGACATACTATGTGAAATCCAATCCCCACCAATGCCAATGGAGGAAAGATTTCACACATTTCCCCCAGTTTAAGGATTACTGATTCTCCCCAACTGAGAATTTGATTATCTTATTTTAAAAAGCCTTGCTTTTGAATAATTTAACTACAACCTCCGTAAAGCTCTACCGACCCCTACCTGAACAGTTAAGCAGTGCAAGGGTTAAATATGAAACACTGGAAAAAAGCAGGCTAGCAATACTGTGATAGTAAAACAGTTAAGTGTATGGTAAAAACCATATATAAGTAATACCAAGGAAAATAATTACTTACAAGAAACTCATCTCTAATAAAATACTTGGCCCTTGTAACTCTGGGATCCTCACCAGGCTCTGGTGTTGCTGATTAACAACAATAATAATACAATAAGTGTCTTGTTAAAGCATAAGTTTTTAGGCAACAAGTCTTAAAAATCATTACTTACCAAAGGACCATACACTTTTTGAATCAGCTCTTGCTTTCTACTCAAATGCAATAGGAATAACTTTCTCAATACAGATTATTAGGCAAAACAGATTATTAGTTAAAACAAACAAAAACACCTCCAGGAAAGCAAGGGAATTCCAATGCCCACAATATCAGTATTTCACGAAATACTAGTGTAAATATAGCTTTCTGCAAGGAACCAACAGGTAATCTGTATCACCATTTAAGTGTTACTACCACTGACTGGATTGAGCTGCATTAGTCTGCTTGCAAGCAAAGAAAGACTGATTATCAAAAAAGAGATGGGCTATAATAAGTATATTGCTAAAGGACCATACAATCCTACAAGATGAAGCTTTCTTAGAGATTCCCTTTAAAGAGACAGACCTTTTGACCACTCCTATCCGAACTCTCTGCTACCAACCACTTCAGGGAAAAGGACAAATAAACTCTAGTTCTGTCAAAACCCACCAACGCCCCCCCTATCCTGCACCTCTGAGTAGTGTGACAAGCCACCATTACTCTGAGGCTGCAGTGCAGTCCAACCTCAAAGCATGGAATAAAATGACAGCATGCAGAGATGATAAATATTTTTTTGTTTATAGGCCCAAATGACAAAGTCCCTTCTTTGTATGTAAACACTTGACATAGCAGTTTACCTGAAAAGTAACCCCTTTTATTTCAGAAGTTTGCTTAACTCAAAATGAACTGCAGCAGAATCCAAGAAAAATTCTACGTGCAATTAACACACACTACAGCTCAGGGAAGCCCTAATTTTATGATACAGCTCAGCTAAAAGGAGACAAATGTTCTTACCATCATCTGGTGTAGTGTAGCGAGCAAATTCTGGAAAGTAGTCTTCAATTTTGGATTTCCCTGCCAAAACTTTCTCTGCTAGCAAATCCTGTTTATTCAGGAAAAGAATTACTGAAATGGTCCGTAGCCACCTGCAGAAAGTTGGAGGAAAACACTGTTAGATAATGTACCTGGGATTAAAAAAATTCAAAGAAACGTAATGGACTACACTTTAGAGCAGCGGTTCCCAAACTCTGCCAGATTGCGCACCACCAATTGAAAATGATACAACCTTAACTGCCATCAGCAATTTTTTGTCATATAAAAGTAAGTATAATAAATCTGTTAACACGTGCCACTGCTGGGCCCCATACCACAGATTGGGAACTGCTGCTTTAGAGACTATAATCAATTACTACAACAATTTCTGCCAAATCCTCTTCCTAACTACTTTATGATTACCGTTTTTCTATCCTCTGTAGTTTTAATTAGAGTATAACAGTGTTAATATAAACAGTCCTACTGTAGTGATTAAAGACAATTGACTGGGCCACATCAAGCAGAAAATGGGCCATCTTGTAACAAAGTTTAACTTCATAAATATAATGCAGGATTACAAGCGTGTATGAAATTAATGATCAAACTTCAATTCATGGACCTGTTGTTCCAGATACTCTTGAAGAGGTTTAGTGCTTCTTGAAGCCGATTGGTCTGATTGTCCTCTCGTATAACCATGTTGTAGCTACTGCTGGCCACCACAAATATGATAGCAGTCACATCTAAATTAAGAGACACCCAATAATTAATATAAAGATCCTTTAGAATTAGTCAAGACCCACAGACTTTCACAAAACTGTAAAGTTTCTAGCGCTGCTAAGGTGAGGGGGGGCTGGCCTGAACGCTATTGCTTTCTAAATGTAAAAAATACAAAAGAGGGAAAAAAGTATAAGGGAAAGGAAAGTGGTAGGTCAAAGAACAGGATGTGAAGCAGGATACTGAAGGCAGATCAGGAGAGAAAAAATAGACTCAGAAACTGGAGAAAGAAAGAAAAAGCAACAACAGAAGAAAAGGTGCAAAGAAAAGAAGATATTTAGTTGTTTTAGACAGGAACTCTAAGAAGCCTATGGGGGAAGAGGAAAAGGCAAAAATACCTTTGAGGCATATTACTGGGCAACTGCCCTTTTGCTTCCATGACACTAAAACTGAAATCACATTAGTATGGCCCTTCCCAAAACCTTCTTTCTAGGTATTTCTTAGAGACAGCAGAAGAAAGATGACTGGAGAAAAGGAAAGGAAAGAAAAGTGAAAACTTAAAAATGAAGATGCATCACTGCAAAATCATGGTTGTAGTCTTAACTCCTCCCAAGACGTACTACACCACTCAGAGGGCCACTGCCTCTTTCCAGGGAGACATCCATAGACTCACAGAACCGGCAATTCTGTGCTTCTATGTGGCTGTGCTGCGATACACCCCTCACACTCGCTTCCAAGCTCATCTGCCTCCAAATTCAACAGCAGGAGAGATGAGTCAGATCATGAGGCAATGGGAACAGGAAGAAGCAGAGGTGAAAACTGAATGGATCTTTTATCAGTAGGGTGAAAGAAAATATTGCACAGTAATCCCATGCATCTCCCCAAGCATCCAAAAAATAATGCAGCAACTGTAGCTATATAAACAGTAAACTATATTCTATTTAGCATCTTCCTTCCTGTAGGATCCCATACAGCTGGTCTAGAGAAAAGGAGGAATTATGTGAAATTTCTTTCCCCCCCCCAATTAACATTTTTGACTCGCTCTGGCTTTATGAAATGATGTTAACAAAAGCAATATTTCATATTCCACTCAGATTCAGGCATCTACAATGAAGAATGCAGCAGTACTGTAGAAACCAGACTAAGACTGGACAAAAGGGGAACACGCAGTTAAACTGTGTGGGGAGTTTAGGGAGAAATGCAGTTCCCTTAACTGAACCTTGGCCACAGCACCACAGCACTCCTGCTCTTGTGAAAAGTGCACAGTATCTTTATGCCCTACCACACTTGGAAGCCGTTAGAATTAGAAAAAAACAAGCTTGCACACAGTTCTTCGTAGCAGGAAGATTACACATTTTCCTGGCCAATTCAGATAGGATCTAACCCAATGCTTCCCAAACTATTTTCCAGTGTGACCCCATTTTAACACTTGAAAATTCGCAGGACCTCAGATGCCAACAAAAACAAAACAGCAGTAAAGCAGCTAATAACGCTCAGTATAGAACACCTACTATACTACTTTAATTCTATTACAAATTCTAATATATACTATTTTAATTCCATTACAAAAAATATTTTGTCATGATTTGTGTCTGTATAGTATATATAAAGGTGATTGCATAGTAACTCAAAAATAAAGTCTTATTCTTGTATATTGTGTGTAAGGTATGGTTGGGGTGGGCAATAGGGTGTGCTGAGGGATGTACATGTAGCGGGGTTGTGAGTGCAGGGCATGGGCATGTGGCTGTGTGTAGGGGGGCACAGGTTAAGTTGGGAGAGA